GGACGTCTAACCTGTGAAAAAAGATTGAAGATTTTTAAATCTGCAAACTTGCAATAGATTTCTATAGTCGCCTTGAAAGCACTGAAAATGAATTTCTCTCCGCTGCATTTCACGAGCAGATAATGCTTGGCCTTCCTTACCTGAGGACCCCAGGCTGTTATGTTCATTAACATAACAATAATAACCGAATAAAGATTTGGCGGAATGACAGGCTGAGCGCGGCCCAGTAAGGCCTTCCTTGGTACACCAACATCTCCAATCTTCTCACCAAATATAACTTCCCCCACTAATCCTCTTCAAAATCTGCCAAGGCATCCTCACCTAAATTAGAATTCTACAATCAAATTAAATATGATTTTGAACCAGAAACATACTTAGGAGTGGTTAAGATCCCTGATGCCCGGAAAAGCTTAACAAGGTTTCGTATTAGCTGCCACAATCTGTACATTGAAAGGGACCGTTACGAAACCCCCATAGTACGAAGAGAACATCGATGGTGCACTTTCTGCTTTTTCAGCAAGGGGCTTAAGCCTATTGAGGACGAAATTCATGTCCTAACTGACTGTTTACTCTACTCCTCAGTTAGAGAAAAATTTAACTTCCATCCCAAAAATATTACTGACCTAGCCGGTTTAGTAAGTAAGTAAGTAAGTAAGTAAAGATTATGACATAAAATCATCACAAGTGTCTACAAAATATCATTGCACTAAATAAAAATAATAATTTAAATAAATATATTTTTCCATCAACATTAATAATTTATCAAATTCAATTTTATTAATTAATAAAATCTAATACATTATCTATAAATAATTCATTAATACTTCCCAGTGGAATAAAGATTTATAAAACGCTTCTTTGCCACAAAAGGATGAAACCAAAGATATTCATTATGTGTCTCCTTATTGCTTAAATAACTGGGTCCTTCAATTTTCCCTAAAACTTCATTCGAAACATTCCAAAAATAAAAATCATTTACACTGTTTTTAGAAATCATTTCTTTCTTAAATCCTTCCAATCTAACTTTAAAGCTTAAAACTGTCAAGCAGTTCAGAGTTCTTGACATCTGAAGGAAGTTTGTTCCAGTAAGGAATGACTCGCTCCGGAAGAAAAGAAGACTGGAGATTCTTAACTTTAGTTACACTCTTATTACACCTATTGGTTGAAACTTTTTTTTTTATTTTTTGGAAAAGAATATTCAAACAATATACACATAATATAGCAATGGCCAATTGGCTGACTATAAGGTCATGGCCTGAACAAACAATTTTTTAAAATATTCAAGTGATGCTAAAGCAGAGCACAAATGTGTAATAAGTTAATAGATAAAAATACTGATTCAATGATTAAAATTATAGCTGTGAGTGTCAATAAATTACTGTGTCATAAATATTGGTTGAAACTAGATTAAGACCAGATCTGCTCATTCTGAACAAACCCGATCCATATTCAGTCAAACCACTAGTTACTTTAAAAGCTTCGATAAGGTCCCCACGTATTCGCCGCTCTGCCAGCGTTGTCAAATTGAGGATATCCAGTCTGCAGCTGTATGGAAGAGTACCCACCTCATCAATAAGACGGGTAAACCGCCTCTGGACGCTCTCCAGCTCCAAAACAGTCCCCCAACTTCCATGAGCCGCAACTGGATTCCACAATTGGACACAATACTCAAGATGAGGTCTTATCAAAGCTTTATAAATAGCTATCATTACAACCTTTTCTCTAATAACTAAGTTCCTTACAATCCAGCAAATCATACGATTTGCTTTAGAAATACATGCTTTTATCTGTTCATTCCAAAGCAAGGAGCTATGGGTAATAACCCCCAAATCTTTTTCCTGTGCAGATACTTCTAGTTCTACTCCATTTACAATATAATTCGAGTTAGGATTATTATTCAGATTAATATGGACTACTTTACACTTGGCAGGATTGAAGTTTAAGTGCCAAATACTCTCCCAAATTTCGAGTTCTAAAATATTATCAGATACACTTCTATGGTTAGCTGCATTACAAACTAACTTGAGGTCATCTGCAAATAATTTAATCTTATTTTTAACATTGTCAGGTAAATCGTTTATATAAAGAATGAATAGCAAAGGACCCAATACTGACCCCTGGGGAACACCAGATAACACGTGTTTCACCTCAGACCATTGTCCTTCTACACAAACCCTCATGGTTCTGTCTGTCAGAAAGTCTTTTATAACATCTAAAACTTTTCCCTTGACCCCAAACCCCTCCAATTTAGATAGAAGTCTAAAGTGGGGGACTATCCGATAAAACACTAGACCCTACAGAATTTACTGCCACAGCAAGACCAATCCATTCAATTCTGTCTGTGAACGAACATTTTACAGCCTACTATAAGAGCCCAGATTTCCACTCAAATACTGGCCAATGCATAATGCTATAGTACCTCAGAATAAGATCGAAATCTACAAATCCGATCTATTCATAGAAAAATAGTAGTGATAGGAGGCCAAACGTCTTCCTCTCTACCAGTTCGGTCTGGTGTCCCTCAAGGTTCTATACTTGGCCCTCTATTGTTTGTAATATTTATAAATGACATGTTCTCCTGTGTCTCTGAAGGCACCAATATCGCCCTTTATGCAGATGACACTAAAATTTGGAGGGAGATTCTTGGTTACCCTGACCATCACATAATCCAAAATGACATCAATAGATTGTATGATTGGTCAGTGAGAAATCGAATGAAGTTCCATCCACAAAAGTGCAAAGCCCTCTCTGTGTCCCTGCAAAGAAACGTGCTGGATAACTTGCCATTCAATACCTTCTTCTATAAACTTTCTGGAAGTGATATTGACTTTGTGCCCTCTCAGTCAGATTTAGGAGTCGCAATAAACTCCAGGTTTAATTGGGGTGCACAGTGTAAAGCGCTTGTTTCCAAAGCTAACTCCAGACTTGGACTACTTAAGAGAACATGTCATTTCACTACTGATAAAAGGCAGAAAAGATCGTTCTATTTGGCGTTAATTAGGTCTATATTTGAACATTGTTCTGTCATATGGTCCCCTCAATCTGCAACTCATCTTCAACAGTTTGTTGCTATCCAAAAGAGGGCTATTAAATGGATCAATGGTGAACCCTACTCGAGTTATAATGACGATAAACTTGCTACAGAGCAAAAGAAGCTAAATATTCTCCCTGTCATGCAGAAGTTTATTTATAACGATCTTATGACCTTCTATAAAATAGTGAATAGCATAATCCCAGTTTCGCTTCCTACCTATATAGTCCTATGCCGTCCAGAGGGCACCCGATACACTAGGCACAATGCTCAAATAATTGATAGGTCGGATACTTCAACTTACATGAGTACCACTGTGCCCTGCTCGGATGCCTTCCGAAATAGCTTCTTTCATAGATCTATGCTGAAATGGAATAGTCTACCAGTATGTATCCGGCAGTCAGAGCGGATTTCTACTTTTAAGGCCAATCTGATCAAGTACCTCTGGGCTGCCGATACAGTCTGGCCAGACTAGCTCATCAGTCTTATGATTCTCAGAAATGTGTTTTTGTTGGTTACAATTCTGCCGTCCAATTTCCTATCCGCTTGACCTTTTCTTTTTCTTCTATCAGTTGTGATGGAATTGTAATGAACAAAATCCATATATAATTATTTATGATATGTTTGATTTTTTGTTATTGTATGTCATTCAAATTTGGTAGACGGCCCCAACGTTAATGTGGCTCTTGCTATGTGTTGGTTCAGCCGAATTAATTATTATGTAATCAAGTTTATTTTTCTCTTTTAGTTAGTTGTCATCCGGCCAAACATTAAGCAACTTATATTGCAGTTCCATTTATCAATTAGTATATCAAAATATGTCATTGTAATTTTGCATGGCTGAAATGTAACGCTTGATTTATATATATAATAATTAATTGAATTTTCAAATAAAAAAATTATAAAACATTTCTATTTTATCCCTACACATTTGTAAATAACTAGAATTGTGTAACCTTAAATTATTTTAGAATTATAACTATTGTGAATTCAATAAAATAATTATCACTTTTGTATCCTTGTATCCTTGTATCCTTGTATCCTACCTCCGGTGGTCGAGAATACTCAAGAAAACAATAATTTCAAGAAAATACTAGGCCGTTGCAGGTTCCTTTTTCAATCCGGGTCCAGCAGTCTCCACATCTTCTTTCCTTTTCTCTCCATGTTTATCATACATCTTAGCTGGGGTGGAACTTGGAAGGCTGTCTCCAGTACAGGACTGGAGCATGATCTCTACAACAACCTCATTGCAGATATTCTCAAGTACGCTTGCAATGGCGTCTCTCAGGCGGTTGTGTCTACTTTTAACAAAGCCTCCTTTCTTGCAGATAAGGTTGTAGGTGTTCTTTTGACCACAATTACAATTCTTGGCTATGTTAGCAATAGGTAGAGCATACCTATAGGGCAGTCCAGTGAGCCAGCTTGATGCCCCCTTTTCACAAGCATGTAGGATCTTCTCATTGATACAGGGTGGTAGATCTTTCATCAGCTGGGTTTGGAGGAACTCATACCTTGTGGCATTAGACAAGCTTATAGCAGACTAAATGACAAAGTAATTCTTAATTTCAAAGTGCAGCTCACTCTAAAATGTAGGGCCAACTCTCTGAAACGATATAAATGTCCATATTGTGTATGCACCCTAGGTTCTGTCAAGTAGATAAGATGATTATAGTCGGCCAATTTTAACACAGTTTTGAAACAATCTGGTCCCATACCATAATTCATTGTATTTTTTATAATTTCCTAACAGGGGGGCTCATGGGCAGCTTTAACAGGCTTGGTGGGCTGGTAGGGCAACTAACTGGTAAAATAACTCCAAAAGCAGGTAGAACAAAACTAAAGCATCATAGCAATACCTACAATATATATATTACAAATATAACCATCTTATCACCGTTATTAACTATTTTTGTGAGGAGATGGTTAATTATTATCCCTAATTTAATGTTATTTCTAATTATGATAAATCAGCCTAGTAGGTTGTCAGTAGCAGTGATGGACGTGGAAAGTTCCCAGGTTAGCCGTTTCTATGCTGGTAAAAACATCTTCCTCACTGGAGGAACTGGTTTCCTCGGAAAATGTTTCATTGAGAAGGTGGGTATATTGTTAACTGTTATATTTAGATAAATATTTCTTAATGTTGTCAACACTGCTGCGCTCAACTCCAATCTCAGTGTTTTCAATTCAGCAAATTAAATATGAATTTATGATGTTATGAAAGTAAAATCGCGTAATTTATTGCTAACCTGTTTGATGGATTATCAACAGATTGGAGCAAAATTAAGAAAGCTATGAAGTCCTTTCATAAAATATCATCATCTGACAACAACAGGTTTTGAGGTCGTGTCCAGATGTGGGAACTATCTACATGTTGTGTCGAGGGAAGAGGGGAAAATCCCCCGAGGAGCGCATGACATCCTTATTCAGTGAGATGCTGTTCGATAACGTCAGAGCAGCAAACCCTGACGTTTTTCAGAAAGTTGTTCCTGTTATTGGCGATGTTATGGAAAAAAATCTGGGTCAGTGAAATCATTTTTCTTAACTTTATCATTTTGTTTAAAAAATATGATCAGATCTATTACTGTGATCATGAAATTTTCATTTACCGATTTATAACCTTATAAAAGATCAATGATGGATGTAATAAAATAATTTCTGACAGATCAGACCTAACATTACCACATTTGTTCAGGTATCAGTGAGGAGGATGAAAAGTTAATCACAGAGAATGTTAACATTATGATTCACAGCGCAGCAACCATCCGTTTTGATGAGCATATCAAGTACGTGATTCGCTGCCCACTACCGTATTTACCCTTATTTACCGCGCCCTGATTTACCGCAATCCCCGATTTACCTCGGCTATTTCCTTCCCCCAAATGGGGCTTAACATGCACAATGTGGACAAACAAAACCCCGATTTACCGCAAACCCCGAACTCCGCGGTAAATCTGGGTTTTACTGTAATCAATAACATATTGTGACAAGTAAGGAGGTTTTTGTCTCAGGTTATCTCTACAGTTGAACGTTGGAGGAACAGTTAAAATGGTGGAACTAGCACGGAGGGTCAAGAATCTCATAGTAAGAATACTTTTTACCTTTTAATTAGTTTTATCAGGATAAACAATCAAGCATTTTAACAAAATTTACTAAACGTCATTTAATAATCCCCCAATAATGAGTTTTAGAATTTCATCTCCAGCCTATGCACAATATACCGGTTTATACCCCCAAATTATAATGCAGACTAAAACAACCTCCCCTCCCCCTACAGTCGTTTGTCCACGTATCAACAGCCTATGCTAACTGTAACATAGCTGATATAGAGGAAGTGTACTACGAGATGGGGGAGGAGTACAGCCCTCTCAAACTCCTGGAACTATGCGAGTAAGTTACATTAATCACATTCCCTTCACAGCTGCTGGACATTGACATTGTCAGCAACACTCACACACACACTCACAATCCTGGATTATATTATGATATCCTCAGTGCTAGGTATTATCACAATGTTCAGAACACAACCAATCTCTCTCTCTCTCTCTCTCTCTCTCTCTCTCTCTCTCTCTCTCTCTCTCTCTCTCTCACTCTCTCTCTCTCTCTCTCTCTCTCTCTCTCTCTCTCTCTCTCTCTCTCTCTCTCTCTCTCTCTCTCTCTCTCTCTCTCTCTCTCTCTCTCTCTCTCTCTATCTCTCTCTATCTCTCTCTCACTCTCTCTCACTCTCTCCCGCTCATAATTAACTAGCTGTGATAAAGCAGGTCTATTTTTAGAAAATACTGAACAACTTGCTCTCTTCAAAAATAGATAAAGCTCCTTCTCTTTTGTATAATATATTGTTTTGCTCGATAACAATTCAATATCGGTCGTTACATGTAATAGTACATGAGATAGCATTTATTTTTATCTGGCTGGAATAAGAAATTCAAATCGAGGGTAAAACAAGTCTTGATTTACTTCATTACATTTGGCAACTCGGTAATGTAGCTACGCACAGTTAAGGCATGGTTAAAGCACAGTTAAGGCACGGTTAAGGCCTTCATTTATATAAAAATGTCACTGAAATATCTATAATGAGTACTTACCAGCAAACTTAACGGCAAACATCCAATATAAATCCATAAATACATTCCTTCCAACTTAAAATTGCTTTGATCTCCCACTCAAACTCTCTTCTACTCGAACTCTCTTCTGCGCAATTTATCTAGTGTTCTCCCTCCTCTACTGTCCCTTCTTCTTCTTTTTCTTCTCCTCTATTATTTGTCTTCTCTATTATTTGTCTCCTCCTCACCCTCCCTCTCTCAGTTGGATGGACGAGGACGTGATAGCGTCAATGACAGAGACCCTCCTCCGAGACCGTCCTAACACTTACTGTCTAACCAAAGCTGTGACTGAGGAATACTTGTTTAAACATGCCAAGGACATCCCTCTGGGCATATTTAGACCTAGCATTATTGGTGCCAGCTGGCAGGAACCAGCCCCGGTAAGTGTGGTTACTAGGTGGTTACTGGGTGGTTACTTGGTGGTTACTTGGTGGTTACTGGGTGGTTACTTGGTGCTTACTGGGTGGTTACTGGGTGGTAACTGGGTGGTTACTTGGTGGTTACTAGGTGCTTACTGGGTGGTTACTGGGTGGTTACTGAGTGGTTACTGAGGGGTTACTGAGGGGTTACTAGGTGGATACTAGGTGGTTACTAGGTGGTAACTGGGTGGTAACTGGGTGGTAACTAGGTGGTTACTAGGTGGTTACTGGGTGGTTATTGGGTAGTAGGTGGTTACTAGGTGGTTATTGGGTGGTTACTGGGTGGTTACTGGGTGGTTACTAGGTACTTACTGGGTGGTTACTGGGTGGTTACTGGGTGGTTACTGAGGGGTTACAGGTGGTTACTAGGTGGTTACTAGGTGGATACGAGGTGGTTACTGGGTGGTTACTGGGTGGTTACTGGGTGGTTACTAGGTGGTTACTGGGTGGTTACTGGGTGGTTACTGGGTGGTTACTGGGTGGTTACTTGGTGGTTACTTGGTGGTTACTGGGTGGTTACTAGGTGCTTACTGGGTGGTTACTGAGTGGTTACTGAGGGGTTACTAAGTGGTTACTAGGTGGATACGAGGTGGTTACTAGGTGGTTACTGGGTGGTTACTGGGTGGTTACTGGGTGGTTACTAGGTGGTAACGAGGTGGTTACTAGGTGGTTACTAGGGGTTAATAGGTGGTTACTAGGAAGATTTCGGAACAAATTATTTCTAAAAGTTCAACAGTTAATCTTGACAGTTTGTTTTACTTACCAATTTGTTTCAGGGTTGGATTGACAACTTTAATGGACCCAGTGGCCTCTTTATTGCAGTGAGTATACTATAGCAGTTAGTTGGTTTAAAGTAAATTATTAATATTTAGAATAACGTCATAATATACATCACAATTATCGTAAATATGAACTTCTTCCGAAGAAAGATCCTTGTTTGTTAGTACAATTACAGGCAGTATTGTACCATATGTATATTGTATAACCTGATTGTTCATGTATACTGTATAGTACAGATTTTGCATAGTCGGAGTACCTTTTGTCAATGTTTGAGTCTTGAGAGCGTATGTTATTATTTAAATAAACCTCAGTAGTAAAGTTTACATCTTTATAAATACAATGTCATGTGTAATGTTACATGTTCTTAAGTAAGCTAGTATACTGAGCCAGCTCTCGGTGAGTGTGTAAATAATGTGAGTAGAGATGAGGGTGTGTATAATAGGGCGCTGCACTGAAGGTACTTACTACTATAATAGGCACTCAATACTCAAGTGTGACTGTTACAGCTGAACAATTCTTACAATTACTGTGATCGCTCATCGCTTGTTAACATTGATCTGTCTGCTGGGTTTACATCTTATAGTGTACACACACACACACACACACACACACACACACACACACACACACACACACACACACACACACACACACACACACACACACACACACACACACACACACACACACACACACACACACACACACACACACTCCCCACTTGTGGTATGTGTGTATGTGTGTGGAGGTAGTGTGCTATTGTGGAATAGAGGATGTTTTGTAATGTAGGACACGAAGGTGGCCAGCAAAAAGTAGTAAGTACTCTACATTTATTGAATAAAGGGATAAAGTATTTTCTTGTTTCGGTATTTTACTGTTTGCGGGACTAGCACTGTATTTGACCTCTCAAATTTCTATAAATTTTCTATAAAAATGGGTCATCATCAAAATGGCGTGATTCTAAAGTCAGGGGTAAAATCGTCCAGTCCCCTACAATTCACCCCTGCAATTCACCCCTACAATTCACCCCTACAATTCACCCCTACAATTCACCCCTACAATTCACCCCTACAATTCACCCCTACAATTCACCCCTGCAATTCACCCCTACAATTCACCCCTACAATTTACCCCTACAATTCACCCCTGCAATTCACCCCTACAATTTACCCCTACAATTCACCCCTGCAATTTACCCCTACAATTCACCCCTACAATTCACCCCTACAATTCACACCTACAATTCACTCCTACAATTCACCCCTACAATTCACCCCTACAATTCACCCCTACAATTCACCCCTACAATTCACCCCTACAATTCACCCCTACAATTCACACCTACAATTCACTCCTACAATTCACCCCTACAATTCACCCCTACAATTCACCCTTACAATTCACCCCTACAATTCACCCCTACAATTCACCCCTACAATTCACCCCTGCAATTCACCCCTGCAATTCACCCCTACAATTCACCCCTACAATTCACCCCTACAATTCACCCCTACAATTCACCCCTACAATTCACCCCTACAATCCACCTTTACAATTCACCCCTGCAATTCACCCTTACAATTCACCCCTACAATTCACCCCTACAATTCACCCCTACAATTCACACCTACAATTCACTCCTACAATTCACTCCTACAATTCACTCCTACAATTCACCCCTACAATTCACCCCTACAATTCACCCCTACAATTCACCCCTACAATTCACTCCTACAATTCACTCCTACAATTCACCCCTACAATTCACCCCTACAATTCACCCTTACAATTCACCCCTACAATTCACCCCTGCAATTCACCCCTACAATTCACTCCTACAATTCACCCCTGCAATTCACCCCTACAATTCACTCCTACAATTCACCCTTACAATTCACCCCTACAATTCACCCCTGCAATTCACCAGTCTACTGGGAGCTGTTTTATCTAGTCATGTGTAAGTGTGACAGTCCCTAGCTGTAACCTAATAAGAGAAAAATTATCTTGTTTTACTACAAATTCCTTGTGCTAAATAATAAGATAAGAAAAACGTATGGACAGTATTTGCGGCAATATTTGCAGTGTGAAGAATATGGGATATATTAATTATTACCATGAAGTATGAACACTGTGTGCAGTGTGGGACGTGTGTGTGTGCAGTTTCAATTCTTATCTTGGTAAGAAGGCGTTAGGCGCTCAAGAGATGCTCCTAATATTTATCTTATTATGTCAAACACTCATGTGGCAAAATGTCGAGTGTGCAGAACACAGAACGTGTCTTATCTCTGTTAAATTATTAAATATTGACGTCAGACTCGTCTCTAACAGTCAGAGAAGGGAAATTTAATTTCCCTAGCAGGGGATTTCATTATATAAAACCTGTTCTTTTGCACTGAAATGGGAGCGCCAAGGGTTTAAAACTTGAATTTGAATTTCCTAATCTAAGGTCTAATAAATTCCGCAGAAATATCCCGCTGTGGTTTTTTTTTGAAAAATAATATGTCGCATAAAAAACACGGACTTAACTTCCGTGTTACAACTGGTTGTCTTACTTGAGATAAAAACTGACTGTGCTTATGAATATTCTCTTTAACTCTAAGGAAGCCTCGTACCGGACTTTAGAAATGTGTTATCAGATACTGTATTATAGTCAGTGTACAGTGTCTACACTTGCACTGTTAAGTGTGCAGAGAACACATGATGTATCTAACACATGATGTATCTAATCTAAATCTCAATATTTTACTATCTTAAACAACTCCTACATACCAGGTGGAGGTAACCAGAATTTGAAACCCTTAAAATCTGATTTACCTCCGATTTACCCCGGAGTTACCTCCGATTTACCCCTGAGTTACCTCCGATTTGCCCCTAAAATAATTTACCCCAGATATTTCTCCTCTTTAAAACTTATTTCTCAGGTTGGTAAGGGAGTTTTGAGGATACTGGAGGGTGATGTTAACAAGGTTGCTGATATTATCCCTATAGATTACTGTGTTAACATGCTCATCTGCGTGGGATGGTACACTTCTATCATAACGTGAGTATTCTACGTTTTTTTGACATAGAGCTACTCGCTACTTATGTCCAGGATCATTATATAAATATAAAGCCGGACTTCTAGGCAAGGTGCTTGGTTGTGGGACACAGTCAACTAAGTAAGGTTGAGAGACCTCAAATCTCCCTAAAGATATATCAACAGAGTGTGAGCCACTGCCTGACTAACCTGTGAATAGAGTTTGCCAGGCTCTATGAGTGTGGCAGAGAGTATCTTCTGAGTTGTTGATATTCTGAGTATCCTTTGTCCGCGGTGCTGGTTATAAGTTCTTGTTGTGAGTGGTAGAAGGATAATTGCTGACACCAAACTCATTTACATGAAGGATCATATCTAGTTGTTACACATAAGTTACTTTGCCATTCTGAAGATTTTTATAGTATGTCATTCTGTAGAATGTTTCTCCATGTATCAACTATTATCAACTATTTTTCTTCGTGTATTGACTATTGATAAACGTATTTACGTTTATCAATAGTCAATACACGAAGAAAAAAACGCGTCACGAGATATTATGCGGCTGCAGGTAGTTATGCAGGGGTTCCGTTCAGGTCCTTCACACTTTGTTTCTGTCTAGTTCTAATTTACCGTCACAATATAAAATATAATGATAAGTTATACTTATAATATACTCGCGGTTTTTATAAGTTGAAACTACCAAACACTCACCAATGTTAGTACAAAAGTAATAATGTTGATTAATAAGGGCTTAATAAACTTTAGAGCCCTGGGAAGTAGAAATGTAAAACTGAACTCCTCTGGGAATTATTATCTAACATTGTGTGTGCCCCCCTGCCCTGCTGCTATAACTAAATTACTATCGCATCGTTATAACTTTATATCTTATAGGAAGCAGGTGGAAACGCCTCTTATCTACCATTGTACGTCTGGTAGCAAGAAGCCATACACTTGGCTACAGCTAGGTAAAATACTCCTTCTTTTCCTACTTCACTTTAGCTTGTAGCTATGTTAATTTGCACGCTTTTTCACTCTCACAGGCCGTTATTAATTTGATGAAGTTATATTTTGCGCCCTCAGGAACTTTGATGTTAGAATTTTTCCAAAGTAAAGAGCCTTACAACGAAGTATTCAGACGACCTGACGTAAACTTTGCCACCAATAAGGTATTAATATTATTTAAATAATATTCGAATATGCAGACGAAATAAAATAAATACCATTTATAATATATTATACAAAATATTCTTACATATTTATCAATAACGTTCAACACATTGAACTATTCTGTTCTCTATTGTCAAGACACGAACAAAATATTTTACAGCTCTTTTGCACTTTGCTCTAAGACCATAAGGACGCTTGACGTTGTGAATGTACTTCTCATTAGTTCAGCAAATTAATCAACATAATATTCCATATTAGATTTGAGGCCCTTTTATGTTAGAATAAACCGTGTGACCACAGTTATCTTATAATTGTGGGGGTTCAGTGTGTTATTTCATTACCATAAATTAACAGATAATTAATTATTTACAGATAATTAATTAATGAAAATTAATTAATTAATGATCATTAAATAATGACTTTTACTCCAACTCTTTTACTTACAGTTAGAGTTGGAGTACTGGAAGATGATATCTCACTGGGTACCAGCCTACATAGCTGACGGCCTCGCTAAAATAACCGGAAACAAGGCCATTATGTTGAGGGCCTATGATAAGGTTCACCGGGCCAGTAAAACATTCACATTCTTCACCAAGCGGGAATGGACCGTAAGTCGCACATGTTACTGCACATATTACTGTACATATTACTGCACATGTTACTGTCGAGGTTGTGGATTGAAATATATATGCTGCCAGACTGTGCCAGATTGTGAACTAATGTTTTATGCTGCTTGATTCAGTCAGCTGAGCCAAATGTAAAAGTACGTGAAGTTGGCGTAATTGATTATTAAGATGGGTTTTGTAATTCCGATGTTGTTAGAAATGTTAATTTAGGTAAACAAGGAATTGTTAAGATGTAAAAAACACGCCTGATCACTCTCAGTCTCATGACTTGCTGCATCCTTTACATCATCTTCTATGGTTTCTTATATTATAACTGACACCAATATTTATCGATAAATTGCTGTATAAAATTCGATTTTATTTATTTTATTTATCTCAGTGGACGGACGGGAACTGTAACATGCTGATGGGAAAGATGTCTGATATTGACAAAAGTATTTACAGCTTTAACGTCCATGATATTATCTGGGAAGATTATTATCCTAACTACTTTAGAGGTCAGTTAGATGTTATAAATTTAGAGAATATTCTTAAGCTTTTAATTTTGTAAGTGATATTGGAAATATGATTGAAGTATATAATATGTTATATGTAGTTATAGTGATATGCTTTGATGTTGAAACGTGTAAATGTTATCAAATGTTAAAATTTGGGGGGGGGGGAGTGGGGGGTGACCATATTTAAGTATGTTAAAGTATATTAACATGTTAAGGGGACATGTACACCAAAACATTTTTTGCCGGGACCCTCGATTTGAGCAATAATTTTTTTTGAGAGGACGCACTTTCGAAAAAATTCGCTTTTTTTATATTCGCAATTTATATATAATATCAGACTACACCTGAATCGTAAGAAATTATATTACTGTGTATAATTAATTATGACATTCCTAGATAACTTACTGAGTATTGTATTGCTTCCAGGTACAAAGAAATACATACTAAAAGAGGACATGAGCGACTCTAAGCTGCAAGAAGCTCGAGCTCGACAAGCCAGGTATTATTCACAGCATTATCATTAAATTAATTACTTACTATTAAGTTAGTTATTAATTAATAAATTATTTGACAGCGGTAACACACTGTATGAACGGGTGCTCAGGTGCTGATTCTCTTACTTTCTGCTGTTTTGTGACAAATACCTTTCAAAACCCTCTTTTTTTGTGACAAATTCTCTTCTTTTTTAAAGCTCAGGTTATTTTCAAAAAGCTGATTCAGTCTAACTTGAGCACCCAAAAAACAGCTGCTATATTGAATAGGATATAGAAAGTGTAGTGGGGTTATAACACTTCAAAACCACGTGACATACTGACATGTGCACGTGACATAGTGACATGTGCACGTGACATACTGACATGTGCACGTGACATACTGACATGTGCACGTGACATACTGACATGTGCACGTGACATACTGACATGTGCGCGTGACATAGTGACATGTGCACGTGACATACTGACATGTGCACGTGACATACTGACATGTGCACGTGACATACTGACATGTGCACGTGACATACTGACATGTGCACGTGATGTACACATTTTCAATGTATTCTCTCATAAAATGTCACGGCATGATGGCAGCATTTTATCTTCCTCCAGATGGCGCTACATTTACAACATTGCGGTCCTCGTATTCATTTCTTCCCTGCTTTACTTTCTATATCCTTTCATTACTACCCTGCTCACAGGATAGACTAGGTGGGTTTCTAGAGGTGTAGCATTCTTTAGAGTACTTTAGAGTATTTTAGAGTACTTTGGAGTTATTTTAGAGCACTTTTGAGTACTTTAGAGTATGTTAGAGTACTTTAGAGTACTTTAGAGTACTTTAGAGTACTATAGAGTGATCTAAAAAGCATACTCCGCTCTCATGTTTTTGTTTTCTCGTGTGTTACGAATCATGTAGATAATAGATGTGATATTGTTATCTTTAAGAATTGTATATCATAAATTCCTATAGCATGATCATGATTGACTACGTTGATTCATTGTGTGAATTTTTGTGATGTTAAGGAAGATTGTTAGATTTTGTGGTACCATTTCTGATATATAACATGGAAAATAGAATACAATTTATACGATTATTCCTTACCATTCTCAGATAAGTGATGGCTGTTTTATTGATCCCCAAACTCTCAAAAAAGATTTTGTTTGATTTAAAACACGATCCAGAGCACTTTTTTATCATTGAAGCTCTGAAATTTTGATTCACACTTATCTGATTATGTGAAAATAATCAGGTTACAATCAGTTGATTTCTTGAAATTCACTCCTACTTTTCGAACTTCCGTGGTAAATTCAACACCGTCAGATATGGATAAATGGCAATGAATAATGCCTGCGCAGTTGACATATGACACCATCTTTCATTCTCATCCATTAGTTGGTTTGTGAGCGTGCAGCAGTGAGCAGGATGTGTAAATTTCAACCGAATCAGGTCACACGCCGCGAATCTAAAATCATCTGATGGGACAGGCGGCGTCAATTTCGACGTAGTATGGAAGACGCGTGCTTTAAATTATTGATATATCCGCGCACACGCACTATCACAGAAATATAATATAATTAATTAAGCAAGCGCGCGCGCGTAAGGATTTTCGATAAATAATTTGAAACATCGCGAAATCTGAAGTTAAACTGCCAGGTTTTTGCTCGGGTAACACGAGCTGATAAATTGTTGTCTAACTCGCCGTATCAGCTCTAGCCAACATTCGTTTATGTTTTCAAATCTGCGAAGTTAAGATTATAGCATAATTTGACCTATCTGGGCATATTTTATCGGGACGATAAATTGATTATGTGGGCTGAAATTGTAACCGGTTTTGCGCTACAGTAGAACTTCTACTTACTTTATGATCAAAGAGGGTTACTATTATATGTCCTCCCATTGATATTTGATGTTCGCATCATAGCGGCTGTTGCTAGTTTACGCTTAAATCAAATGTCGCTCATCCCATTTTAAATGAAGTGTTTATTGCAGTATTTATGCAACTTGTGTACATAATGATAATTTAAAAACTGAAGCAAAATAAAATCATTGCACATGCTACATAGACGAAAATTTTAGCTACACGTAGTTCATATATAGTTCATATTATATAGTTGTATATACAGTGGCAGCTTATTGCTTACTGTTTACTGTATACACTGCCATATTGAAGGATCATGATGTATCTTGTAAATGTTAATTACACACGCGTCCACACTTGTTTGGCTAACATAAACAGCTGACTGTTCAATTTATCAATTCTTCAGAAGTTTTGAAAACATACCTAGTGAAAAATTACTGCTTTTCAAACCTAAAACTGACTAATTGTATGACTAATAGCGGTTATTAATCACTCTGCGGCGTTTAGTGCTAACAGGTATTATATACAGATGACACAAATGCGCAATTTCCGCGGCTATATATAAGTCTATATTTGCACGCTGCACGTGCATGAAACTCACACCTGTTTCCCAATTTAAGCGCAAAGCACATACAAAATCTCTATTCTAACCTTCAACATGACCCCGTTTCAGGCTCCAAAGAATTTGGTATATAACGGTCAGTGCAGTGACCTTGCTGATCGGTCGGTTCCTCTACCTCAAATCACCGGTCTGCAGAAACCTGTGGTTTAAATTACTTGGCATCATAATGCAGCTGTTACGACAAATCAGATTAACCATCGTTTCTTGATGAATGAAAATCTTATTATTCTCTCAATTTGGTGTAACTTAAGTTAGATTTTGCTGGTTATTTCACAGGGATTTCCAGGATTGTATTATATTGTGAGTTTTCGGAATGATGACGATGATGTTGTTGTTTGTCGAGAATTTTAAACTTCCTTCAATTTCCAGCTGGGCTGGAAAAATTATTCCTCAAAACTTAATCCCTGTTTAATTCTTAAGATATTGCTAGTTTTCTATTATAGCGAGAGTTTGTTAGAAATATAAGTGAGAGCTGTTGTTTTAAGTCGTAAGAAAGTTTTCTTAACAGTACCACATCAACCTTAAAAAATAGCTGATTATTATTCCTGATTTTGTTTTTATTAATTTGAAACTGATGATATATATGGCCAAGATTGGAATTCGTTAAGCGTAGGCTCAAAAATTGTGACAAAGACCGGGCGCCACATTCGGGATAACAGCTCCCAAATTGGGCGTACACAATGCTTTAGTCAACTATTCAGAGATCTTGTAACAGAGAATTTTCTCACCTTTTCGTGATGGAAAGAGCTCAAAGCTGTTATTGTAGGGTCCAAGTCTGAAGAAAGATACAAGTCTGAAGAAAGATACTGAGATATTGTTGACAGTAGATTCCTCGAATGAGTGATGAAAGTTATTAAAATTAGATCGACTGGAATCTTAGTGCATGCTATTACTCTGCTGTTAAGCCAAACGTTTGCTTTGGGTCACAATTTTTGAGCCGCCAGGAATTTTTGACAAAGCGTAAGACTCGAACTGAACGGTACATACCTTGATACCCGCTCTAACTAAACATACCAGAGTACATTCCTTGGCCTTGGGATGTACAGTATGACGTATGTACCAGAGTATGTACCGTTTAGTTAGGATCAAAATTGCTGACCAGAGATACTATTGTGGAAGTGTCCGGGACTTTGTTTTTGTAAGTTGTTTATGTTAGTTAACATTTGTTATTGTTCTGTTGATGATGGTTAGTGACATTTTTACTGCAGTCAGTATTATTCCACTGTTTTCCTTTTTTGTATTTATAGATAAGAAAATAATTTCTATTCGGATTGGTCACTCAAAACTTGCGTATCAAGTGGCTTACTTCTACTTCATTACACATAGGATACCTTCATCAACCATACAAGAGTAACAAAGAGTTAACAGATTTAACAAAACTCAATCAGGATCTCTAACATCACTCAAAACTCTAATCATAAAATTGACCCCTTTCTGCATGCGGGCCTCAATCCCCCACCCTTGTCCCATACCCAAACCATGACACACTCTAACCATGCTGCCTAAACTCCGACCTTGACACAAGGATAGTGCAATATATGGCTCCTTTAAATTATCTTTAATTAAATTCATCGTGAAGATCTCGCGTTTCTCATATTTATGCTTGATGACGTCAATTTTAAGGCCTGAACTTAAATCTAGATTCTAGAGCTATGAGCCAGGTTCTATTGTGGTGTACCCTCTTAAAGGTTGCATGTCATTATATATCAGCACCTTCCCAAACTTGCATGATTGCTTGGATATCTGATGAGTCTAGAGTCAATTATATAGACCTGGAAATCAGAGTAGAACTGAAATTATATTGTAGCTAACTGTTATTATACAGAGCGTACACAAATGAAATAAACTCAATATAATGTGACTAATGATAATGATGTTTCGCCGTGCATGGTTAGCCGTTAGTGTTACTCTGATATCAATGACAAACCCGAGATGACTTAATTCGTGAACGCATCCTAAAGGAAACGGATGATTCATCACCTTTTTGTGGGAACTCTGAGGTGTGACAGTGTGGGTTTGGATACGTGGAACAGGGCATTTGGTAATCCAGGATGTAGTAGGCACTTGAAACGCTTTTCTTAACTCTATTCTGCAACTTGAGCCACTTACCGATGACGTCAGAGCATTACCTCAATACCGCATTATATACGCACATGCTGCGGCCCAATAACTGTATAACACGCTCCCACGTGGCTGCCACGTAGGCTACTATCTTTGCAGGTGTCACGTGCTCTCGTTTATTCCTTATATGGAGAATCTGTAGCGTGCACATGACGCGCGCAGCGTCCTGTGATTGGCCAGTGTGAGGTCACGATGTCGCCTAATTGCTACACACGCAATGCTGTTGGTCGTTGTGGGCGCTGTGTGAGCTTTTCTGCCATTACTACACGTATGCTCTGTACTACATTTCGTGCTTCCAACTTTCCTGTCTATTATTTGTTTTTATTGTATGTTGCAAGTTGCAACCGTGACTGTACTGATCGATCTTGCTTTTTGTCGTCCGTATTTCTGTAGAAACGCTTGACAGCTTGCACCACCGATTGGTATGCTTTTATTTTCCAAAACTAGATAGTTGCTGCTAAATCTGCTGATCCAGTCTGATAATTGACATGGATTCAGGAAGCCTGCTCAGTGGCAATTACAATAAATTCGCGGACTAGACTTACATAGGGGTGGCTCAACGGCCATTTGTAATCGATGGGGATGGCCCTTGCCGTGATATCAAGTTGGGAACGGAGTTTTTACCCCCTTTCGTTTCGATGAAGCATGAATGGATGAATAAAGTTGACCCTAGCAAGATTGTTGTTGATGTGCTGATCTCCTTTTCTTTTTTCGGTATTTCATTGCACCACAATCTGTTCTCTGTATATAAGGGGTAATGTATGGGGTCGTTCACAATTTACATATTACGTTATCACTCCCCTCTTTTTCAGCAAGGTATATGGCGATTGGCGAAGTAATCATTTGACACTTTCCGAACTGGCCTCTAAAATTTATTAACTAATTGTCAATCAGACACTGTAAGTGTATACAATGTAAAATGTTCACAGTTTTCTTCAGGGTACAGCTGGCACCCTGTTTCATTCCTCAGAGAGGAATTAAGCTGTCCCTTAACATTTGCTTTTGGGTTATTGTGGCACAATTTTGATTGTCAGATTCACATTTTACCGGATATTTTGATGAAATTTGTGGCTTCGGTGTAGAAAAGTCTACTCGAAATACAATTTCCTCCGTGCGAATTGCATGTTAACTCAAATGGAGTGCATGACGGAGTTTACCTGTATTATAAATATAAGCATATAAAATCTAGCATATACTGATAGTTGGATAATATCCGGTTGGAATCTAGCATACTTGTCTTTGTATTGTGGGTTGGGTCAGTATGATTGTGGTTGAAGAAGGAGCTACACTCTACAGTTAGGGTTAAGCTTTGGAAAATCTTATTGCTGGAACGATGCAATCACAAAGCCAGTACTCTCGAGTGATAGCACTGGTTTGATTTCATGAGTATGTTTTTCTTGCATTTATCAATGAATTCACCTCGCTGAACATCATCAATATTTTAGTATAAACCCGAGTGGAAATGTAGACAGAAAAATCTCGAGATGACAGAATCAGAACGAAAGACCAGCGGGACCGGGCCCCCACCGGCCGAAACAACCGACAACTTCGAATGTAACATCTGTCTGGACACTGCGCGGGACGCCGTGATCAGTCTCTGTGGTCATCTCTTCTGCTGGCCCTGTCTCCACCGGTGGTTGGAGGTCGGCAACGATCAGGTGAGGACAGAGGGCTCTTTGTGTCCTGTCTGTAAAGCTGGGATCAGTAAGGAGAACATTATTCCTGTTTACGGGAGAGGTGGGAGCAGAGAGGACCCACGGAGTAAGACGCCGCCCAGACCTCAGGGTCAGAGACCAGCTCCGGAGAGGCAGCCGAATAGGGGCGGGTTAGGGTTCGGAGAGGGGTTCACTCTGTCGTTTGGTATCGGAGCTTTTCCTTTCAGCTTCCTGGCAACGTCTTTCGGGGGTGCTGGGTTTACGGATCCTGCTAACAACAACAATAATAACAACACCACTAACAACAACATGAATAACCCCAACAATCCTTCCAATTTCGGGAACTTCGCTCAGTTCAACCCTAATCGATATCAGAATCCAGAAGATAGGTTTCTTTCTCAACTGTTCGCTTGGTGCGCCATATTGTTTGTTCTGTGGATAGTGTTCACGTGACAAAGAGTTTTTAACACGTGATACTTCGAACACTGAGCACGTGATTTATACCACGACACTTGGAAGTGCGTTGATGAAGTGTGTATTTAATCTTGGGCCAAAAGTGCCGAATTTTTCGACATGTAGATAGATTACAAATTGAAGGGGTAGGTAAAAAAGTTTTCTGTGATAAAGATATAGATTTATCTCGTATCATTTTGTTATTTCGGGTTTCGTTTCTACTTTGTAGCTTTGATTAACAACCATTGCATGATTTTAGCTGTGGTAATCATAATTTATTTTGACATCTCTCAGATCGGTATTTTTCCTGGAAATTTGATTGAATAAACGGCAGTGAAACTGAAATTTTGGCAGTGAAACTGAAATTTTGGCTTAAGTAACAGCGCACTTGCCTTGCTGACAGTTTTTGTGGATTTTTATTTATGATAAATAATTTTTTAATGTTTTGTATACTGAACCGGAGCAGCCGAGCTGTAAAATTCAATAATTTGTTTCATCACAGATCATGTGAATAATTCAATTTGACCGCCTAATTTGATTATTAGTCATCGTAGTCGTCCATGTTTATTGCCCTAAAGTTGAACAAGAATAGTTCCTTAGTTCCTTCACTCGATACCACAAACAAAAACATAAATTAATTCTTTAAATTCCAATAATCTCAACTCCTAACTTAAACTCTCAGCTCCCCAAACTAAACCTTCCTCTCTCCCCAAGGTGTAATGTAACCCTCTCCAACCCTCTCTCTCTCTCTCACAACCACAATGGAAGGCCGAGTGGCCATGATGGGGGCTGCTTTTGTAGCCTACCTGGCCGTCATGACCGTGTTCGACCTAGCAGCTAACTCTGTTGCTAGTCCCCCACAGAAAGGGGAGGAGGAGGAGCTGGCTATGAAGGCTAAGAGTTCTGTGTTTACTGCTCCGACCGTTAAAGTGCTCTACTGCATTAGCTGAGGGTATGTCTTTTATAATTGTTATTTTATTTCATGCATATTTTATGTCTTTTATTTTTTTTCATGATTATTTTATGTGGTATGCCTACAACCAAATAGGGGGGGGGTCCAAGGGGAACTTTGGGGAACTTTGGGAAAGTCCCCCAAGATTTCTGAAGTTCCCCAAAAAAAAGTTCCCCAAAACTCCCCAATTTTCCCCAAAATTCCCCAAAATTATTCAAAATTATTCAAAACTATTCAAAATTATTCAAAATTTCTCTAATATACATTTATACCCATTAATGTTAACATGTATGTTATTATAAGGTATAATCTTAACTTACTTGTTGATACTTGCAGCATGATAATTTTTTTGGCATGATAATTTTTTTGGGGAACTTTGGGGAACTTTGGGGAATTTTGGGGAACTTTCTGAAGTTCCCCAAAAAAAAGTTCCCCAAAATTCCCCAAAATTATTTGTTTCATTGATAATTTTTTGGGGAACTTTGGGAAAGTCCCCCAGGTTTCCTGAAGTTCCCCAAAAAAAAGTTCCCCAAAACTCCCCAAAGTTCCCCTTGGACCCCCCCCCCCCCCCCCCCCCCAAATATCATAGTCAGTATGGAACAATTACAGGAAACTGAAGGATATTCGTTTATCCACATGTTATTAAGACGTTATAGTTCCGTCTGTTCAGAAAATGTTTGCTGAGTATGTTTTTGTTTCTCTTAATGTTGGTTTCGCGTTCTTAATTTGTCTATCAACATTAATTCAGTCAGCTACATTTTGATTTCTATAATTAATAGGTTCACAATTTCACTATTCTCTTATTTCGCTTTGATTTCCAACAACGTGTTTCGGGCCGGGACTTGGACGGGTGATACTGTTGTTAGCACCGAATTTCAATTTTTCATTCATAATTTTTCGAACATGTTTAAAGGCTGGCTTGACACGGTCAGACAACCCAAGGCTTCATAATTTCAAGAGATATTATTCCAAGTTCATTGAGATTATAAATTTATTGTCATGAAATGTCACTGTTCACTGATAAAGCATCTTCAATTTCAATACAGCTAGCTTCCGGTTACAATTTCCCTCCTCCCAACTCTAAGAATTATCTACATTTTCGGCGGAAATAGAGGATAAGTGCTAATTTCTAAGTTTAAAATTTAATTTATAGATAAGGCCATGACAGTGCAGCGTGACACTGCGACAGTCACATGTCAGTCACGTGACACTGCGACAGTCACATGTCAGTCACGTGACACTGCGACAGTCACATGTCAGTCACGTGACACTGCGACAGTCACATGTCAGTCACGTGACACTGCTACAGTCACATGTCAGTCACGTGACACTGCGACAGTCACATGTCAGTCACGTGACACTGCGACAGTCACATGTCAGTCACGTGACACTGCGACAGTCACATGTCAGTCACGTGACACTGCGACAGTCACATGTCAGTCACGTGACACTGCGACAGTCACATGTCAGTCACGTGACACTGCGACAGTCACATGTCAGTCACGTGACACTGCGACAGTCACATGTCAGTCACGTGACACTGCGACAGTCACATGTCAGTCACGTGACACTGCGACAGTCACGTGTTCACAAGTATTTACATCCTGGTCTAAAACAAAAATAGTGCAGGAAAACCTGTTACTTTCCAAAAAATCAGAATCACCCACTGCACCATGTGCTCAAAGGTGGTATTTTGATGTCCGGAACTTGGGACTCCTACGAAAAAGCCGAACAGTTATCATGAATTACTTGATAATCATGCTTTTATATTGTTTAAAATATCCCAGTATCAGATCCTCATAAGATATGATTGTCATTTATGATACCCACATCCCAACCGCCAAGAATTCAGGAGCATCAAATACCCTTCGAGTGGTTAAAGTACAATCTGGTTTGCAATCGGTTTGGCTGGTAGACTGGTTGTTGATTAGAATGGATGGGAAGTCTTCTGTCTGGCAGCTAGTTAAGGTAGCATTGTGTTAGAACTCATTTCAAGTAGCAGTACTAGTATGCTTGACTGGTAGCATGTCTATGTCAGTATTTTTTGCCGGTAGCCTGTTTCAGTAATTTACCGGGATTCCCGACCCCGGCTAGATCCTTGTCCGGCCAATTTCTGGCCGGCCAAATTTGGTCATTCCCGGCCAAATCCTGCCCCCGGTCGTTAACTGGCCTGTTTACTGTTTGGCTGGCAGTTCATTTTGTGGGATATTAGATGTTAGTAGTACTGTAGCACTATTGTGGGATGTGAGTATCTTTTGTCTGTGCTTTAACAATAAGATGAAACACCATCGTCCATCACATTGTTATACACTCAATCCACATAGTAGCATCAGGAAACAAACTTTTATGAAATAAGTCATTTGTGTTTCGACGATGTGATTTCAATTATCTTTATTCTCAATGTATTTGTTTCTAGACCCACTGCACCTTTATGATTTGTCATTATACAACCCGGCCTATGAATTGAAGGCAGTAAAATAATCACCTCTAAAGGCGCTTATTTGAGCAGCACAGTCTGCTTTTCTCGTAGACGATTGGCTGCCGTTTTTTCTAGCTGATTATGGAACAATTGTTTAAAATATTTTTTCTCGGTATGATGTACCCCCAAGTATAGAAGCGAATAAGCCAGAGTTTGTCCTCTGGCTTATTTTAGACAATACTGTTAATACCCTTATGTGATATACGAGTCGAGCGGTCAAATCTTAAAGATCATGTTTACTTCTTAATGCACAGCTATGATGTACATGTGAACTCTACCCTGTATCTAGCCCATTTCTAGGTTAGTTAAATTCTACTGATGGATCACATCACTAATTATACGTCACTAATTAGTGACATGATCTGATCTCCCTGGCCCCCTAGTAATGAGGGGGCCTGGAAGTCGGCCTCCCGTTAATACTCAGCAGGCTCATACTGAAATCTGAAGCCAATTATCTAACATACAGTAAAACTTTTCGGAAGCAGTTAAATCCAACATAATGATTGGTATCGGGTTGCAAATTATTCATATAACAGTTCGAGTTCAATTATTATCGACTAAGTTATAATAATAATTATAATAATACTGTTGTTGGGTCAGTGTTATTTTGTGTTGGACCCCCATCGTCTACATTTCTCCTTTTCTTATCCATCTTACATCCTCACTGTATTGTAATTACATTGAATTGTCAAGCCATTTGTCAAGCCAATCGTTGATGGATATGGTTAGTTTGCGATCGTTCAGTTAGTAAGAGCTCTGACTCAAGAAGAATAGCCAGACTATAATTTGATATGTCATGTCACAACACCAGCTTCAGGGTTGGGATGCGGACTTTATATATTTTAAATTGTTATGGTCAGTGTGTAAAATGAGACCATTATATCGATCTAAGGTGTAGTATTGCCAGATCCCAGTTCATTTTGTAACGGAGTTTTATATTAACAGGAAACGATGTAACAGAGTCGATATATTTTAATGTTGCCATGGGGTGGCAAGTCCCATACATCGTGGTCCGGTAGTTTCATTGCGTCCTAATATATGCGAAGTCATTTCAGTCTGGGAAATGAGGTTACATCATATGTTCATACGCTAATCAAATTAGTATGCCGTATTAATCGTCCATACATGAAATGTACTTTTGAGGCTGACGGTATGTTGACGGTATGTTGACGGTATGTTGACGGTATGTTGACGGTATGTTGACCGTATGTTGACGGTATGTTGACGGTATGTTGACGGTATGTTGACCGTATGTTGACCGTATGTTGGCCGTTACTCGTAAAGCCTTACAATTGTCATCTCCCTGTTCTCGGTAATAGCAAAGGATCATGAAGGAACCCTTCTCGCTAGTCGTTCACAAAACCTCTTTTCCCCTGGCCCTTAGTTGGGTGTTAAAAACATTTTATCTAAAATAATCGCTATAGACGCTAACAAAACCATATAATGGTGTTTTAAAAAGCCCCTGTCCAATGTCCTCCACGACACTAAAGAACGTCTAACATTCTTCCTCCCTAAAATTCTTCCTCCCCAGGTACAAGAACACATTCCAGTCTGTCAAGCAGAACCTACAAGCTCGACACCCTGGTCTGTCAATAGAGGGGGATAACTACCCCGCCACACCACTCAAACAATTCGTCGCTAAACTTTTATTCTACATCCGCATGGGGGTACTTCTCATGATGCTCACCGGGACTAAGCTGTTCGATGTGTTCGGAGTCCCGGTACCCGAGTGGTATCATGGTCTTCAAGAGAACAAGATGATGGCAATGGTCGGGATTTTCTTCATGGGGAATATGGTGGAATCCAGTTTGTTGTCCTCGGGAGCGTTTGAAGTGAGCGTTAACGGGGAGATGGTTTGGAGTAAAATGGACACGGGGTATTTACCGAGTTTGGAACATCTTATTTCAACGATTGATGATAAGTTGGGAGCGGGCGCCCAGCCTTTTACTCCAGATTTTGAAAGTTTAGGAGGGGATTTGTAGCACTCTGCTTTTTTAGATACGTCAGATCTAGTTAATAGAACCTACTTTTGTCCGACAAATATTTGATTTTCTTTCTGAGCTGTTCAGACCGTCTAGTTGAAATGTGGAAAATGTTAAAAAGTTGATAACTTCCCAGTCTAAATGGTGAGTTAATTAGGAAGAGTACTCTTCATTTGAATTACTTGGATACTTTTAATTTAGGTTGACAGTGCTGGTTTTTAAGTCTTCGCATTCTAGAAATTAATTAAAAGTAAGGATTAAGAAGGCTCCGACCGAGCTGGCTTGGCATTAAAACCTTCTTAATTTAGAATTGGAAGTCCTAGCATAGTCGTCAATAGTTCCATTGCTTATGATTAAATTATTAATTTCTTCGGTTTTTGAGCTAATGCATATTTTTGTACGTTTGTTGTTTTATATCATTTCAGCTATTGCCAATATAACGCTGTGAGTTAAATAATAAAGTTTTTTAAACTCTATGTTGTGCAGACGTCTTATAACGTCGAGTTGATTATGATCGTGATATTGATAACGCGTGAGTTCTCACGCATAACGCGTGATTTCTCACGCGTGAGGTTTGGTTTCCCGCGAGTCTGCTATGTGGTGTGGCCAGACGAAACGGACGGCACTTGACGTGTATTTTTGTGACGGTCCCCTGTGAAACCATATTTTGGAATAAGGGACTTGATGTTGTATAATGTTGCTTGTCGTTTGGAATCAATGAATCCTCCATAATTCGTGGTGTCTTACTGTATTGTTATCCCTTGTGTGGCAGTACCATTTTTGCTGCATCCATATGTTGATATTTTGCTCAACATTTTCGTGTCTAATAAAGTTTAAAAGAAAAAAATTCATTTTAAATCTCAACTTGATTTGTCCAGATCAAACCTGATATAATTGCACCGAATAGAATTTGAATTTTTCTCTTGTAATGCTTTATATGTTGAAACGATTCAACTCCTTAATTATCACTCATTATTTTCTAACTTTAACCTAATCTAAATCCGCTCAGCTCAGCAAATGGACGTAAAAGCTAATAGGAATGATTCACTGCGCTCTTTTAAAAATGGTGTCACATGAGCGATGCCCTCATCTGGCTAACTGACAATCATGAATCAGATGAAATGGAGCTTTCTCTCATCGTGCCTGGTGAAGTTTCGACGTGAAGAACATTGACTTGGATATTTAATTCTGTTAATTTTATACTGTTTGAACTGTGGAAGGTATGCATTAAGGTATGCATTAGCTTGTACTTGATAATATTGATTTGTGATTTCACCAATCCACATCTTATGATCTCCTGGTTGTTTCTAAAATAATACAATACCAATTTATATTTATAAGATCGATGTAGAATATAGATTACGTATTATTTTCAGGCGTTTAAACACTCAGCGCGAGATTTCTCCCTCGAAATTGATTTGCTCACATAAAGTCTGATGCAAGCGTTCCGAACAGGGTCGTGCATTTTTCAATGCCATTAAAAAATGCACGACCCTGGCCTGTTTGGGATGCATGCATCAAACCCGTAAATCTGCTCCGATAAATTTAAATTGAGATACGCCTCCTCTCTTGAAATAATCATTCATATTTCACAGGTACGATACTGAAAGCTAAACTGAAGAAAGAAAGGAATCTACCTTAGATGGCTATGGACAACCCGACTAATCAACCCGCTTTTAAATTAAAAACCACCCAAAATAAATAAAAGTTCCGTATATTATCTAAGTATACTTGTTAGATACTCAAAGTTAATTACCAAAACTGCATTACTGCCGCAAAGGACGGGGGCCTGGATAAAGGTAAATCCTCATTGAAAGTCCGGAAGTGCAAGTGGAGGAATGTTTCTCTAGGATCAGAGTTCTTGTAAGGTAATCGTTTGTATAACCCTCCATAGGAATAAAAAATATACTAGTTTGAATGGAATTTCTAAGAAGCTAAGAGATATAACTATAAAGTATAAACTAAAGCAAATCAATTCAGTTTCTCCCGGAGATTCTATGTTGCCCTGTTCGTTTATACCATTCTATTGTTGACTTTTAGTTATTTATTTATGTACATCTTTTAATTCTTCTAAACAAGAAAGAAATGTACGTCATCAAATGGAATATGGAAATAATAACCCGGAAAATAAACCATGAAATAATTATTGGATTTAATTTACAGCCGTAGGTCGAGAATATACATTAAACGTAAAATGTAGCGTATAGAGGGCGCAGATGATGGCGGTCATTTCCCAGAAACTTGGAGCTCAACATCAATTTAATCCAATATAAGATTCCACGATCAATTATCGTTGTGAGGTCTTGGACAGTTCTAGAAATGCATAGATAGGTAGATGTCGATAGGCAGAGAATTATAGGATAGGATAGATATTAAAGGTGGAAGACTGCAGTACATCCATTATCCAACACCAACGATCTTGACTTCCATTTGTTTGGACTTTCCATCACATATCACTTAATATTTGTTATGACCCGAAAATGTACGGCTTAAAATTTAATTTCTTCTAACACTGAATGTTAAGCTATGTGAATTGTAGTGTGATCTGTTATATCTTAATTCTTGATGCAGTGACAAGTGTGACGTGAGTAGTAGTGAGGTGAAGAAAGACGTGGTGGTCTAATTCTAAGCAACAATCAATGGTACCAAATACAGAGTTATATGTTGATACCTTGTAAGTGGTTCTCCATGTACTGGCACATAGTAAACAGAAAGTGAAACTGTTGAACGAACAGTACCTACTCAGAAGTCAGAGTATACCAACCGTCGCAGTGCAGAGATTGCTCGTCAGTTCCAATACCGGTCAAACTTCAAATCAGGAAGGAATGAAGGTGGTGATCTTTATGTAACTGCATCAGACTGTCGTTATTATTAGACCTTCTTGAAAACGTACACCTTACTGGCCCATGTTTTGCCTATCTACTGTTCCATTTCCTAATCCTTGCAGTTGCCGCTGACTGACTTATTAGCGATTAGTCAACCGTTGAGAAGATTGTAAAACCGAAAATAAAGTTAGGAAATAATCTATATAGGGCCCATGAATTGAGTAAAAATCAATTTTTGTAATATTACCATTATTTTTGGGCATAATCTGATGGGACTTCGGTATACAGTTCACTCTGTTCGCCTCAATTCTCACCGCTATGACCCTCAGTACTGACTTGTCGACGTTGCATTTCCCTTTTCGCGTGCACAAACAACAAATAAAAAGGGATATGCAACGTGTAGCAATGATTATGAATGACCGAGGCTTAAAGTTAAAAATTTGGTTTTAACTCTATTTGGACTGGTTTACTGGGCCATTATTATTAACTTCTTGAGTTACATATTTTGTTTTTAGTGCAATTTTGCTGTTAAGACCTTTTCATGTAGTGCTAGTGGCTACCGTATTTCTGCGGAGAATAAAAATTATATTGTGATTTAATTTTAAGTAAAAAAGACAAGATGTTAGCGGAACCTTAAACTTTTGCGCTATAAATTTCTTGTCACGTCATATGACCCCATATGACCCGTCATATGACCCGCACGAGTGCGCGGCTCCCCAGTCCCCCTGTATCGTAGAAACTCTACGCCATAGTGAAACGACCGTGGGGGTCACGACGTGATACAATAAATTTCGTCATCATTGCATATATTATTTCTGCTCATTTCTAGAAGTAGAAGCATCCGGCCGGGTACATGGTAGTGGTAGGGTCAGGGCCAGTGATACTCAGACTCTCCCAAGTGCAGTTTGACTTTGACCCCGAGTCGTGATTACAAATCATATGAATATGATAAAAAAAAGGAGGGTTTGTGATTTCAGATTGCCATCATATAATATTAATATATTCATATATTATAATAGGCTAGAAACTTAAAGTAAATTTAAAGCCATGGCCATTGCTCATTTTAAATTATTCTGAAGCCAAACGCTAACCTGCTCACGATTCAGATTAAAGTAACGCGCGCGTTCGCTTTAGCTATTTGCGTATTTCCTGCGACGAATTTAATTATATTTCTTATCTATGAGTATGATCTAATTCTAGTGCGCAGTGGCTGGGTACCTAGCGTGGCCATAAGTATAAATATAATTGAAACGCTCGTGTATCCCCAAACTATATCTTTGTACAGTAAAACCCCGATTTACCGCAGAGTTTGAGGCAAAGGAAACAGCCGCGGTAAATTTAGGTTTGCGGTAAATCGGGGTTTTCTTTGTGTATATTAATTGTAGTTGTACTTTAAGTTTAATTCCCATTTGGGGAAGGAAATGGCTTAATGGCCATGGTTAATCGGGTTTTGTAGTTTATCGGGAAGCGGTAAATCGGGGTTTTACTGTAGTTATAATTATAAATTATAACTTTTTATAATTTGAACTCAAAATCCAACGAGGTCTAAGTTTGACCGCACAACACTTCAATTCAAATTGCTGTTTAAGTTTAACCAACGTTACTAATACTAATACATAATACTTTGTACTCGCAAACAAGTTGTCAAAATTAAAATGAAGAACCAGATTTTCTATCCGATGGCTTGCATTTCCTAAAAAAAGTGCAAATGAACCTCGAGGGGGGTTTATAATTATTTCAAATTTCGGTCGCTCACAATTTAGTTCAAATTATCGACATAGTCTAGACGGACAGACCTTCCTTTTTGCTTTTTAACTACGTCACGTTGAATTGGTATAATTTAGATTGATATCTATATCAATATCTTCAGAAAACTACATCAACAAGCGTCCATTCCATGATGCAATGGTTGAGTGGTTCATTGATTTTGCTCTCATTTTGTTTGTTATTTTAAGTATTCTGTTAACAAAACACAGATTAATTACATTCACTAGTTTGATACACCATTTTCGGTAGAAATCGTAGATAAAATAGTTGTTTATTCGAGTTGCTTAGCTCTTGTTCTGGTCCAATTCGCAGCCGGTATTTTCTCAAATCTGGTCTTTAATTTACACGGTACGCACTAGTTTAGTTTATACCGTTAATGGTTTAGTTAGGATCATAACAAGTTACATACTAATTAGTACACTATCTATTCTTATTGGAGCGGACATAATTCCGGGCGCAACGTTTACAGCTTAGATACATTTTACTACAGTTGACTGTTTCACATTGAACTTTAATTTGGGAGGAAATTTCGGACATAATCATGGGCGTTAACTTTAACTTTAAGCCTCTGACATCAACGTTAAATGTAATGTCTGACCAAATAAATTCCGATAAGGTATAACGTGTATGACTATTCTGTACTGAGGTCTGTGTATAGGTTCCTCAAATTCTCATTAAACAGCCAACGCTCGATAATTCCATCCTATCAGCAGTCAATGACAAAATCATCGTGGTATCATTAGTATTTAGTATCATACCAGCTTATATTATGTCATGTATAACTTTATTGTTTAAAGGTGCATTTAAATAGTAGACGGACAGGTTTCTAGCATCCCATATATTAATCCATGCTTTCAGAAGGGGTCTACTCAGAGATCAAACAGTTCTATCCTATTTATGATTAGATAGCATGATTGGTTTAAC